TGCAAAGTGTGTATTTGCCCCCGTAATGAACGGGGGACTCATATCTGCTGGTTGTTCTGATACAAATGAAGGGCTTGAGGAGATGAGGGGATAGCGGAGAGATAGAGGATCACGAATAAGGAGAAGTGGAGGAACCAAAGATGGAAAGGGAGACTTTTGCCAGCCGGGTTGAGACTTACCTTTTGACTAGCGCGTTGATCATCCTTGTTGGTAAAAGCATCCGTTCCCTACCTTTTTGTTCGCATGACTAAGAGGGCGAGCGAATCTTCCCACTTTGGTGGGGAGGATTCCGTTTTATTTTATGTATTAATAGGCTGCCTAGGGGATATATGCGAAATGGTGCAGGCTCATCGCTTGACCAGCGACCCATTCGTCATTGAGCAAAAGAAGTATCAAGGCAGAGCAGACTACGTACTGCTGAGTGAGATAGCGGGGGATCAAGTTGGAGCCCCGACTACTAATTGAAGCCTAACTGGTCCAACTGAACCAAGCAGTTGAGCAAGTGAAAGTGGTGTCAGTAGTAAGTTTGGGGAACTGGAGAGGCAAACTGTGGTAGTTCGAGGAGGTTGCCCGTACTTTGACATGGGAGTTGGTCTCCGGACCGGGGCGTCTTCTCCAAGGCAAGGAAGCCATACTCAGATTGCAGTCTCTGTTGAACTTGGGTTTCTGCTAAAGTTTTGATAAAGCACAACTCTGAGGGATCATGCCCCCTGTAGGGCATTGCTGAGGGTTGTGTTTCAGCGGTTATTACAACCATTTTTGAAAACCGTCGTTGACAACATTTTGTTGTATTCCTACTGTGCGACACTGCAGAGACTGTAGTTGGAAAGTTACCTGCTGTTGTAACAACATACTACAATGTTGTGACCATTGCCTGTACTGAGGACCATCGGTGTACGTGGCTGCTAATAACTGTTGCTGCTAGCTACACGAACTGCGGCAGTGCCTACGTACTGTGTGTAAGGATGCTGTCTGCTGCCGATAGTACACGGCATACCGCCGTGGGTTCTTGCTGATTTGTTTTGAAGTTGTTGCTGCTGCTGCGGACTGTGTACAGATCGCTGTTGCAGGGCGCTGTAAACTGAACCCGGACAGCTGGTGTTACTAAAAGCCGACCGACGTATGTTGCTATGCTGCTGCTAATATTTACTGCTGACCACCACAGAATGCTGCGTCCAGTCCCGAACTAGCGAAAGCCACTACAACTGGCGACTGCTGCTGTTACTATTTGACTCCCCGTTGAATGTCGTTGTTGCGCTTATGGACTGCTACGATGTGTCGGACCCGCCGGGATGGCGGTCCGACAGGATGGAGACGAAGGGTGGACGAAGGAGGAGACAGAGATGAAGCTGGAAGGGGCAGCGCAACTCCGACGCAGACTCAACACGCACGTACTCCAATATCTGCAAAAGTGAAGAATGACGAAAAACAGACAAGTGCTGGGGTATACCCCCAGCGGACTGACTGACTGGACTGGACTGGGCTGGTACCGACAGTGGTACCGGGCAGGACTAGAACAACACACGACCTGTGGGGTCAGGTCACGGCCTGGTCCCACTGGCCGAACTGGGCAAGTAGCCCAATAGGCCCTGGCTGTAGACCAGGGCAGATGAAGGCCCGCTGCATGATCCGCAAACCTGTAATGGATTGCAAGAGCCATAAACACGCTATCCGCAAAAGCAGCGAAACTCTGCAATAAAGAAAGCTGAGAAATCTAGGATGCGGAGTCCATGTGATGCATCCTAAGCTACATAATGTCAAAAGAAAAGTAAATGTCTGGTATCCATATCCTAGCTAACAACAAACAATGAACTGTAGTATGATACAATCCTAAAGTTCTGGGGGCATTGACCTTAGTGCTGAAAGGAAAAGGGCAATATGTCACAAGATAATGTCATGTCGCTGAACCACTAAGAGTGGGATGGTCTCAAAGGGGGTGAATGCAGAATAAGAATCGAAACTCCTAAGGGCAGTCACATATGAAGGTGGGATAGGTCATCAGGCTTAAGGTGGGAGAGTGGTAGCGAAACAAAACCAATGACCCTAACATATAGACCATCAAGGCGGGTAATGCGCGACAAAAGGGTGACACTATGCAGGGTCGATCATGAAAAGGGGGGAGCCTGGAATAGGGTGGAGCTATGCCGAACTGGAGGCATGCAATAGCTGGCGCTAGGGTGATGAGGGAAGTGGATGAGGGAAACATGCACACCACTCACCGACTGGGAGAGAGAGCTAGATCTGGAAGCAAGAAAGCCAAGATAACGCTACGGTTCCAATGCCTATGCGATACCAAGGGAGAGCCAAGCTCAAAGAGACCCAGCTAAGTGAGAACCATCATGCGATAGAGGCAAGGGAGTATACAGGGTAGGGTGGTGACGTGAAGTAGTCATGTCCAAAGTAGCTGAAGTCGTCGAAGTGGTCGATGACATGGATGAAGTAGCAGTCGAGTCGATGTCGAAGTAGCCGCAAAATGCTGACATCCTGGAGAAGAGCTGATGATGGAGTACTTGCTGGTGTGAGTCGGTGGGGAAAGATAGAGGATAAGAGTGTCAGTCATCGTAACGCGAAGGGCGACAATGAGTGCTCTGTGGACACTCGGAGACGACCGTCTGTGGCTGAGGAACGGCCTCAGAGGGAGTGGGCTTATCCTCAGCAACCTCCTCAGCCAGAGGAGGAGGAAGAGGGTCAGTCGGCTGAGTAGAAGCAGATGTCTCAGCACGACGAGCACGATCATATGCACTCACCAACATCCTGGCGTGCTGCAAGTGCTCGAGGGGTTCCCAAGTAGCCTCCTCATCAGGGTAGCCCTTCCAACGCACAAGGTACTCGATGCGTGGAGGGATATCATCGGTAACTTGACGTGACACAATGTCGGAAACAACGAACTCCTCGTGGTCGTCCACCATGATAGGTGGAGGGCGCTCATAAGGGCGTTCGACGAAGCACTCGGACGGTCTGCGATAAGGACGCAGCAAGGTGACGTGGTAAACATCGTGTACGCGAGCCTGTCGAAAGTAATCATGTAGCTTCACACGGAAGCTGACCGGACTAGCGGCAGTATCAGAACCGACGGCCTGAAGGATGCGGCATGGACCGAAGAAACGACGCCTGAACTTGCGAAGCGTATCTGCTTCGAGCTGTAAGTGGCGTGCGTCGACGAGCACATCATCACCGACTTTGAATGGATGATTCATTTGTGATCGGTTCGCTCGTGCGGCCATGCGAGTCTGGGAGTCGGCTAAACTCTCGTGTGCGCGCTTCATAATCGCCGCCATGTGGGCGATCCAGTCGTCAAGCGCAGGGCAACGAGTGTCTGGGCACAACCGCGATGATCGTAGAAAATCCGCGGGTACGCGAGGATGGTAGACGAGGTCGCAATAGAATGGCGACATCCCCGTGGCTGGCGAAACAGCGTGGTTGTATGCAATCTCCGCATGGGCTAAGTGTAAGTCCCACTGCTGATCATCCCTAACAAACTTTCGGAGGATATTACCGAAAGTTTTATTGGTGACCTCAGTCTGACCATCCATCTGAGGGTGGTAAGACGATGAGAAGTGGAGCTGGGATTCGTACACCTCGTATAGGCGTCGCCAGAATGTGCTGGTAAAGCGCGGGTCACGGTCGGAGATGATGCTCTGAGGTAAGCCGTGATCTCTCACGACTCGGTCGAAGACGATGTCGGCGACCTCACGAGCGCTAATGCGATAGCGGCATGGGACAAAACGTGCACGCTTTGTGAAGTGATCGACGACGACCAAGATAGCATCATGACCGCGCTCAGTGGGTGGGCGGAGGGGACCAATGAAATCCATCGAGATGGACTGCCAACGACCCTCAGCTATGGGTAGGGCTGAAGTCACCCATATGGAAGGTGGTTCGCACTGTTCACCTCCTGGCAGGTAGGACACTCCTAGATATAGGCTTTGACAAAGTCCCTGGACTTCGGCCAGACGTATAGGCGGCAAACACGAGCCAACGTCTTATGGAAACCCATATGACCGGCAACTGCCTGGTCATGGAACTCTGCTACAGCCTGGACGCGGAGCTGTCCGGTGGAGGGAACGCAGATACGTGGTTCTAACTGACCAGATCTGCCATGCCAGTACACAAGGCCGTTCTCCCCGAGGGAGTAGGAAGGAACGGTCTTGCCACTCCGCAGTGTCGYGTGGATGACGCGATAATCGGGGCAGTGGCGGTACTGAGTGCGATACGCGTCGATCACCGACTSATCAAMARTGGKGATGGAGATGGCAGCAAGATGGATGGGTTCCTGATTGTGATCAGGATGGCGGGACAAGGCATCGACGACACGGTTCGTTTCACCCTTGATGGGCTGAGTGGTGAAACTRAACTCGGATAAGTCACGCCACCAGCGTGCCTGTCGAGGGGAAAGCTTAGGCTTCGTGAGAAAAACCTTGACAATTTGAGTTGTTCGTGCGCACCGTGAAGGGTGCCCCGTGCAGATAATGACGCCAATGTCGGGAAACATAAACTACTGCGAGAACCTCACGTTCATCGACAGTGTAGTTTATCTCGGCAGGCAGTAGCTGACGGGAGTAGAAAGCGATCGGGCAATCCCCAGCACGAGCCTCGACAGTCCCATCCTCCGCGATGGTCAGGGAGTAAGTAACAGGAGCCTCAGAAGGACCGTGGAGGGAAGTGGTGGGAGAGTAGGCGTCAGTCGAGAAACAGTGTCAGCAGGAGGGGGGGGGAAAGGAGGAACATGGGGGTAAGGTGAATCTGGAGGAGAGGGAAACACCTGAGAAAGGACAGCTCCTACTGCAAAGTCTGATGCATCGGTGGTGACGATAAAGGGACGAGCAAAATCAGGGAGGCGAAGAACCGGCGCACAAGTCATCGCCTTCTTGAGGGCGCGGAAGGCGTCCTCGCAGAGGGGTGTCCAAAACCACGGCGGGTTCTTTCGGAGGAGGGTGGAGGTAAGGACGTAGGAATACCTAGCGTATCCCTGGATAAAATTACTATAGTAGCTGGTGAGGCCTAGGAAGCTGCGAAGCTGCTTGGCAGATGTGGGGACGGGTCACTCTGCAATAGCAGTGATCTTCGCGTCGTCCATGTGGAAACCCTGGTCAGACACATGGTGTCCTAGGAAGTCCACTTTGCGCTGGGCAAAGCGGCACTTACTGAGCTTGGCATAGAAGTCATTCTTGCGTAAGCGCTGTAGGACATCGCGGAGGTGTCTGATATAGTCTTCTAAGGTACGACTGTAGACCAAGATATCGTTCAGGTATACGAGAACGTATTCCTCAAGGATGTCCCTGAAGATATCGTTCATCGCCGTCTGGAAGGTGGCGGGTGCATTGGTGAGGCCGAATGGCATCACCGTCAACTCGTAGTGGCCAAAGCGTGATCGGAAGGCGGTCTTCGGTTGATCTTCTGTGACAACGGGGATCTGGTGGTAACCGCTACGAAGATCGATCTTCGTGAAGAAGCGGTTGTCTGCCAGACGGTCAAACAGCTCATCCGCGCTGGGCATATGATAACTGTTCTTAACCGTGTAACGGTTAAGGCCGCGGTAGTCGATGCAGAGGCGGAAAGTTCCGTCCACTTTGCGAGCAAAGATGACAGGTGCACCCCAAGGGGAGTTACTGGGTTTGATGAAACCCAGTCGAAGGAGCTCCTCAAGCTGACGCTTGAGTTCCGTCGCCTTTGGAATCGAGAGTCAGTATGGTGCCTGATGGTGAACACGATAGTCAGGCACGAACTGGATAAAATGCTCAATACTGCGCATCGGGGGAATCCCGCTGTATGAGAAATACGGGGGAAAGACGTCGCGGTACTCTCGAATCAGGTCGCGAATGACGGGCTCTAAGTCTGCCGTGAACCGTGTGAGTTCCTCAGCATCTGCGTCGGCACGAGACGTATGTGTGACTCGACAGTTGACGACTCAGGGACCTGGGACGTGGAGGGGGTATCCGCAGGCTGACGGGTGGACGTAGAGATGGGAGCCGCGAAGATGGAGGAAGGGTCAGGGGGATTGGGCTCCAGAGATATGAGCTCAACCTCGGGAGAGAGTGGATCATATCGAAGAAGATCCATGACGTTCACTGAGTAAAATGTGATGTCCTCTTGTCGTATGAAGTGAGCAAACTGACGAGGGGAGGTGAACGCGATGTCGGGGTGGGACCCTGAGGGACGAGGGTCCTGGGGAGGTAGGTCGGGAGGGGTGTCGTCCGTGGTTCCAATAAACGGAACGCGATGGGTTTGACCACACTTCATTTTGAGGACGAGTGTCTCGGTCGCCCATTCAGCTTCTGTGCCACGGAACCGGCGAGACCTGGGAGTGCCAAGGATAAAGTCGTACCCAGTCTCCAGCACGTCAAAGTATGCGGAGGAATGGTAGCGCCTAGGCGTCTAGGTACTATCCGATGGCTGGAGGGTGAGGGAGAAGTGGAGGTCGGGGACCGTCTGATCGAAGAAGCGATGCGTCTTGTTATCTCCGAGGGTAACGGAGATAGGAGAGTGAGACCCCGAGGTAGCTAGGCGAGCTTCCTCAACCACGCGAGGGTGAACGAAATCTCCCTGCGAGCCAGAGTCCCATAAAGCGCGCTACACCCTCGTAGATGTCCCTAGGCGAATAGGGATGATGGGTAGGGTGCGATCAGGGTCAGAGAGCAAGGTGAGAAGACGATGCAGAACGTTGATGTGTCTCGTGAGGCGCTCCTGACGAGCCTGGAGAATGCTCAAGTCCAGGAGAGATGACACAACGTCATCACGAGTTGCCAGTTGAGCGCTACAACGGGCTGTGCGAATGGCGCGACGCGTCGGAAGTCTCGGGGGAGAAGCGCTAGATGCGTCAGTCTGCTGGGAGGCAGATGGTACCTCGACAGACGATGGGGCGGAGAGAACTGCGTCTGTCGTGTCCTGAGGGTCCTCTGGTGGGGTCGCCAAAGGGGCAAACCGYGACTCGGTGGTCGGGAAGCCGGCTACGTGCGAGGCCTCATGGGCACAGTGCACCGTGGCTAGGTGGATGAGGCTGGCCGGGCGGGGCCGGGGGGGGACTGAGATCGACGCTGCCGAGAGATGTCAGCTTAGTGCCGATCGAGGGCGGTATGGTATGGGCACCGTGAGGAGGTGTGTCCATCTAGGCGGCAACGAAGGCAACCGCGCCTGGCCTCGAGGGCGGCATGCTCCTCAGGGGATAAAGCTCCACGAGGAGGGACATAACCCTGCGGGAGGTCTATCTGAGGAACCGTGGGTGTGCGGGCGCCAGCCTGTGCAACTCGACTACGAGCACGACCCATAGCAGACATGGCCATCAGCAAGCACTCGGCCACCGGAACAGTGTCGCCATCCAAGTGATACTGGATGACGTCTCGTAGCTCGATGTCCTCAGAGGCGTCCCCAAGGGTAGGGTCACACTCGGCCGAGGCATCCTCGCCGTACTCCAGAGAACTGTAGAGCTGAAAGAATGACGCTCCAGGTCGGGCTGATCGACGAAACCGACCAGCGAGGGAGGATCGACCGCGAGTAGCATCACGTGACTGGGTGGCGGCAGTGGTGGATCGCGAAGAAGATGGGGTGTCGGAGAAGCGATTCCGCATCTTCTGGTACTGTCGAGCGGCCTCGTAGGCTTGCTCGGCGGAGGCGAAGCTCTGTCGCCAAAGCTCGATACGGTAGTCAGTCGGAAGACTGACTACGAACCTGTTGGTCAGAAGGACCTCAGGTAGGAGTGCCTCATCGCAAATGAGGCGGGCGTCCTGGAACACTCTGATGTGACGCTCAAGATCGGAGGGTGCGGAGGACCCCCGCCACTGCGTCTGGGTGACCCGATCTAGGGCGTCGGTCGCATCGTGGAGGGTTCCGTAGCGGTCGTGGAGGAACGTGGTGAAATCCGCGAGAGTGGGCGCCTCACCTGCACGAGTGCGATGGGTATAATAGATCTCCCAAGCGGAGAACGCACTGCCTCGCAATTTAGTTGCGAGGGCGGAACACCACAAGTCCTGACTAGTGTTAGTCAGTGTCAGCGCGCGTGTGGCAACCTGTAACCAGTGCGACACATGCATCGTACCATCGTAGTCGGGTATGTCCGACAGACGCACGAGGGTGGAACCGGAGAGGGGTTGATGAGTCTGCACTGCGGCGGCAAATGTCGGAGCTGGTGCAAAGGTAGAACTGGAGGCTGGCTGTGAGTCGGGGCCGCTGGTGGAAGGTCCAGCAGGCGTGGAGGTAACGACCGCAATCGACTGTGACGGAGTAGCAAGGTAGGCGGGTAGAGGGGGGGGAGTCGGTCGAGGAAAGCGAGCCGGCAAGACAGTGGTGGGAGGGACGGTATAAGAAGAAGAAGGGTGCGCAGCCTGTGGAGGGTGAGGCTGTCTAAGGGAGAGAATCTCCGCCTGGAGCTGCGCCACAGTGGCTTGTAGGGTAGCCACTTGCTGGGTGTGCGGGGTCGGGGGTGGAGGAGGCGGAGGGAGTGCCCTAGCAGGGAGAGAAAGAACTTCGGGCCGAAGTACCGTAAATGGTGCAGGAAGCTGCGATGCAGCACCGGGGTGGGTAGATGAGACTGCCTGGCCCGATGTCGGTATCTGGGCGACAGCACATCCGGCAGTGGCCGAAGCGGCAGGGGCGACGGGGGCGGCGGCGGCAGCCAATGCCTGTACCGCAACAGACGGTGTGGTCTAGGCGGCAGCAACACTCACCACTGGGGCGGGGGAGTGCTGGGCCTGACCCGTAGATGAGGATGAACCGCCACGTCTCTGTCTCTGGTGTCGTGGAGAGCCAGACTTCGAGCTGGTAGGCGATGGGGTATGAGAGCGGTGGGGGGACCGATGAGGGGAACCCTTGAGGCGGTGAACTTCAAGGGCGAGCGCATTAACTTGCGTCTCCAGGGGTGCAAGCGCAAGCGCATCGAGTCGTGCTTGCAGAGGTGCAAGGAGGGACGCAAGAACAGCGCGAAGGTCTGTGGGGTCCACACCATGCTGACCCTGGATCGTGGGGTGGGTGGACGCCTGGGAGATGGATGGCGCCGCAACGATCTCCTCCACTGTAGCCATGTCCGTGGATGATGGAGGAAGAGAGGTAGACATGGTGGGAGGTGGGGGGAGATATGGGTTGTGGTATGGGAACAGAGGACCACCGGTGAGAGGGAGAGGACAACGGGAGCGGAGTGGGTAATCGTGGGTCGGCTCGCCCCGTGACCAACGGGTCGCGCGTGAGATGGTGGCGCGAATTTGGTCTAGGGGAGAGGAGCCGTTCGGGTCCAGGGTGCCCGACGGGAGGAGGTGGGAGAGTAGGGGGGGTTAGGGAAACCCTAAACCCTAGAAAAACCCTAAGGAAACCCTAACCGAAGTTTAGGTGGTTAGGGGAAGGTGGCGGCGACCTAATCAATAAAAGAAAATAATAAATATGGAGGGAAGGGAGAATAGAGTAAACAATGGATTTTCGAGATAAAAATAAAATAAATAAATAAATAAAAATAAATAAATAAATAAAATATAAAATTTGAGGAGAGAAAGAATATTTATTTTTTTGGAATTTTCGGCAGCATTTTCCCACCTCGCATGGGGTCAAAAATGTGCCAAGAGTAAGGAAAGTGCAAGAGGGACACACTAACTTTCAAAATGCCGCAAATTAAAAAAAAAAAAAAAAAAGTAAATAAATAAATAAATAAATAAGGCGGTGGAAGAGAGTGAAGAGAAGCTAAGTTTTGGATTTTTTTTTCAAAAATTTTGGCAGCATTTCGTTACCCCCATGGGGTCGAAGTGTGCCGTCAAGAAAAAGACTAAGTAGAATGGAAAAATTTGGCCAGCGCTTCGCTACCCCCAAGGGGTCAAAATGTGCGCTGACAACAAAGAAAGACTGAGTCCTAGCAAGATATAGAGGTGCCGCAGAAAATTTCGAATTAAAAAAAAATAATAATAAAAATAAAAAATAAAAATAAAAAAAATCAGAAAATAAGAAAAGAGGCAGGGAATAAGATGATTCAGATTTTTGGAGAAAAAGAAATTTTACATCAAAGAGAAAAAGAAAAGAAGAAAAAAACAAAAAAATTCGGAGTTGGGTGTGGGGGGTGGAAAAGTGATGAAGAAAGAGGGAAAGAAGTGAGAAGAGAATGAAAATGTAAGGTGGGGGAGATGATGGGGTTGTAGGTGGGGGGGGAAGGAGGAGAAGAGGGTGGTGAAATGGGAGGGAAGGATATGAAAAAGATGGAGAAGAGTAAATGAGATTCATGAGAAATGGTGAGTGGGGAGGAGAGGAGAGAAAAAGGTTGTGGAAGATAGGTGGAGAGGGAGGTAGGAGTAGAGAGTAATGGTGTGAGGGAGAAAAAGTGATTAGATGATGGGGAAAAAAAGAGAAAAGAGG